AAAGCAATTGTGTCGATCGACGCGTCGCTGCAGATCGTGAGGATCAAGCCTATCCTCTCATGGCTCGAATCCTAAGTGATTCATCGATCTCCTGCATGAATCCATCAACAAAACACACAAAATCTAATCCAAACAACAGCAAACAATCATATTCCATCAATTCCTTTTACCCAGATAAACCATGGTCACGCACTCACCTTAGGAAAAACAGTTATAACATGCGTTTCAAATTTTAGATTAAACCGACCTCGATGGCTCTGGAAAGCTAAGACTTGGAGCTTTCCAATGATAGCTAGATCGTCTTCTGGGTCTTTACAGAACGACAGGAAAATAGTCCGCAAGTTCGTTGTTCGGAATTGGAAACAGGAAATTCCAGTCTCAGAAAACATGAACGACATGTTGACATCTATAGAACACAGAGAACGGAGAGTACATCGGAAACAGGATCGAAAACCTGCTCTGGAAACTAGACAGAGAGAGCTTTCCACAGATAGATGGATCGTCTCCTAAGTCCGTCTAGTTCGACGAGAATCCTCCCTCGAAATGGACTGATCGCATACCCAAAACTGCATAAGCATCTCTTAGTAAAACGATGATAACTCTCGGAATACTAATCCAAATGACAAAACGATTTCGCCCAAAGTTAGATACGAGAGTGGAGAACTTACCCTAGAAGTTTCGCTCCAATCCGATCCAATCTTCCAAGCTGTTCGTCTCACCTTCTAAAATCGGACAGAACTGTTTTCAAAACAACAATCTCTTCTTCTCTCTCACAACCTACGAAATCCTCTCATTTTCCTCTCCAAAATCGGCTGCAAAAACGTCTCCATGCGTTTTTATATCATGCCCTAGGGTTCCCTAAACCGGACGCCAAACCAAGCGATCAAGAACCGAACTTGTCGGTTTGATTTCAACTTGCGTCGATCGACGCAAATCACTTGTGTCGATCGACGCAACACATTAAAGCTCATCCAATCTTTCAGGTTCAAGTTGCTGGTCCATTATCACATAAGAAGAAGAAAAGCGTGCAGTAATTCAGAACTCTTCTTTTGGGAAGTTCATCGTTATAGCGGATAAACCATCATATTCTGGAAGATTTGGGAGATTTATAATCTCTAGGCAACTCAATGTGGCGATTTTTTTATCCAACAAGGAGTACTCGCGGCGGCGGTGCACTGCGGAGCAATTTTTCGGTGATTAACCGGCAACACGGTTGTATTTTAGAACATGGGTTTTGACACGTTAATGAGCAGTATCAAAGAAAGGAATGAGACTCTCTCTCAAAACACCATTGCTATAAAAGTATTTGTTCATGCTTTACAACTTGTACTAGTTGAAGCTGTCATAGCATTGCTTGATATTGTGCAAGTCAATTCAACATCATGATCTAAGTCAAAAGGAGAAGGGGAAAATGATGGACCTCCTGAGAGGAAGATAAACTTGAGCCTTGCGCATGCGAGAGAGCTTCATGAGGAGGAGAAGGTAACTCATTTGGTTTTGTATAATTGTTCTAGGTTATGGTTAATTTGTATGTTATACGTATATGGTGGAAATTTGGTAATATAACCGGATATACTAATTGTAGCTTTTATTTGTTGGAATGTAGACATCAGTTGACTACATAATAACAGATGATGATGAAGCTGAGATTGATGAGAATGAGTTTGGATGGTATGACGAGGTATAGGATGCTAAGGTGGATAACGTATTGCATTTAATCAATGATGACCATAATTTATGCAGTTCAATGTTTTCGGGAGGCTCTACAAGAGTTGACATTCTTGTATGATCAAAGAAGTGAAAGAGAAGAACGCAAAAGGGAAGCATAAGAAATCGGTTAACAATATGGATATTGGTGGACAATGTAGTGGTGTTGGTGGAGGATTGTCATTGAGTGAGAATTAATGATCTCGTTCAGATAGCACACATGGTTGCATCTAAAATTATTGTAGAGATCAACAAACTGGAGCGGAAAGTTAATGATTTCGTTGCGGCAGTTGGAGAACTGAAATCTGCCATTAATGTTATTGATATAAGCATAGGCCAAGAGGTGTCCCTACAAATAACAAAGATGGAAACATATGTGATTGATGGTATTTGTGCTTTTTTGGACAAGTCAGTGTCTAAAGAAGGCAATAAATCAGTATCTGGAGTCAAAAGTAAGGACAACAACATATGTATTGCAATCATATCCAAAGGCAGGTAATAGGAACTTATAATGAAGAAGCTGATACTAGGTAATAGGAACTTGTAATGAAGAAGCTGATACTATCATTGGAGGTGTTATTGGAGCTCTTAGAAGAAATGCCTCAGACATAGTAGGTGTACTTTATCTTTGAAAATTTAATAGTTTGATTTATGTTCAGCTATTTTGTTTGTAAGAGTATTTAATCTTAACAATGTATTTTTTCATTTCACTGTCTGTGAAGGGTTTTGATGATGGTTCTTGTTCCATGTCGCAAAAAAAGAAGTTGAGGTATTGCTCTTTCTGTATCATTATACAGTTGCTTCTTAAACAGATGACGTAGGTTGTTTTTTCCGGTATGTGAACTAGTTATTTTGCCCAATTATCTATTAAATTATATGGTCACTTCCAAACATATCAATATAAATAATTCATATTCGGCTATTTAATTATTAGACATGCTAATGTTAATATTAACCGGTTACATATACTAGTAGGTTCACAACTGTTTACCCAGTAGAGTCGATGTTGTTATAGTAGTTTTCAAGATTTTCTTATGTATTTGTACACACTATTATGTCTACCACCTACATTCTCGCTTGGCCTATCACAAGAACACAATAGCATTGTTGGGGTTGGGAATGAGAGAGATATCGAAGTGGTGTGTTATACCGTAAAAGAAAGAGGCAACAATCTCAGCTAGCCTTGTTGGTGATTATCAATGTGCTAAGAGGTTACTTCATCGGGCTAGAGAATGTTATCTTATTGGAACTGGTGAAGCTACTGCGGAGTTATATGTTCGAAATCTTGGAAAGTTGAATGAGAAGTTAAAAGGAATGACGTAAGTTACAATTTTCTATCATAGAGACAAGTTGGTCGTAAACAATTGCATCTTTGATTGTTAAGTAGATGTATCTTATCAAAATTATATGGTTAACAGTTGAGATAATCGGTTAAGTTTGTTTATAATCATGGTAAGATATTCATTGGCATACAGGAGCGTAGTTATCATCTATGCTTGTCGATTTGTTGTAGGAGTTTAAGTCTTAGAGGGGTCACTACTACAGTCAAAGACTTTGCTGATATTCATGGAAGGACGAAATGCTTGCAAGCTAAGGTATATAATGAGTTTTATGTCATATTCTTTTGAGTAGTTTAAACATTGTTGTTATATGTCACCATAATATAATTATCTATGTTTTGACAGGTTGTTGATCTACTAATTAGGCATACTAGGTATCTCTTAATCCGACAGGGTTCAATAGTGTTAAAGAGAGTGTTTTCCTTGATACCCAATTTGTTTCATGCCTAGGGAGAACTTTTCCAAGTTTTCCAAGATACAGAAGAAAGAAAGGCACCAGTTGCAAAAGCAACTTATGCAGTATTTTAGTGAGGAAAATGCTGCCAATGTTGATGCTGGCCGTTTCTATTTCCCTTTTAAGTTAGACAAGACATATTGAGTTGGTATTTGCGTTGATTGCGCGACATTCACTTTCAATATCTTGGATTATGATGTCTCACTGCGTAGTGACAGTTCCATTGCATAGGAGCTTAGCCCTGTTGCACAATTTTTTCTATATTTACCAAAACAAGTTGGTTGCACCCAGACTTTAAGGGATCTTAAACCATTTAATGTAGAGAGGCCAAATTGTATCCCGCAAAATGTGAAGCATGGTGACTCATGAGTAACCTCTGTTTTACTCTTGCAAGCTCATGCAATTGGTGATTTAGAAGTTTGTTGATGAATTATAGCTGATGATCTGTCGGTTGAGACCCAGAGGTTAGCAGTTATGTTGTCTGTGGATAACTATGGGCAAGTGTAGGGTAAAATTGTTCTTTATAGCTTGAAGATGTTGTGTAATACTATGTTTTAAACCTTTGTTTCTATGATGTTTACTATTTTAATTGGACTTGTACTGGATTGGTGTTGTATTTGAAAATTTATGTTATTAGGAGACCTATTATGATTGCCATTAGATGTTAAACTTTAACTTTGATGTAGTTTTTTTAGATTATCCTTAAAAGGTTCATAATAACATATTGTAATCTCTCCTAGTGGATCGTAGTTTTAACACTTGTTAACCAACCATTATATTTAACCGGTCAATAATTTTACCATCTTTTATCATAATATAGGCATATATGAATGATGTATGATGATAACTTTGTATATATTCGGATAAGTTAAATGATGATCGGGCTAAGATACTAGTGAACACTAGATTGTAGATATAATTGAGAATCTTATATATGAAGCGGGGCAACCTTATTTATAAACAAATTTGGAAAAAGTCTCATCTGGGATGATACAATAATATCTTACACTATTGAACATGAAAATTTTGCTGACCCAGGTACAACATTGGTAGAACGAGATATCATCAACTCCATACGCCCCCTGTTTTATCTTACACTTATCTTGTAGGCATTTTACAAGTAGCTCGATTATGTTCCAAGCGCTTGCACCTGCTACGTCTAATGTTCCTCCGTTTTTCAAAAAATTATAAAGCAAGTTATGAATTTTACAAGTTATTTTAGTAAACTATTTGAAAAACTAATTTAAACTTACAAGTGTTTTCCCACATGAGAAGAAACATTTCTTCCTGAGCCGACTCGATGGGCGCTTTATTGAGGACAAATAAAGATCCAGACTTGCCATTGCCGAGGCTAATTCAGGCCCTCCATCTAACTCAGTTGTTGAGTAGATTGTGTTTGTATATGCTTGCTTCCAATTTTTAGAAGAGTAATCTTTGGCAATCAAAGACTCCATAGGGATCTCTGAGCACACTGCAGCAACAACAGCATGTGGACAAGGAATTTCTAACATTTGGAACTCACAATAGCTACATGTTTTTATGGTGAGGTTTACGTGGAATGAGATCCCATCTTTGTCTCGTATCTCAAACTCCCCTTTAATGATTTTTCGTATATCATATCAAATTAAAGTTTCGAAGTTAGTAGCAAGAATTTCAAGGACCTTTGGGGTTAGTGTTTCGGTGAAGTTTGTTGAAGCTTCCAGTCCATCAATTTTGATTTGATATAT